CACACACACACACACACACACACACACACACACACACACAGCAGCTATTTGTGTTAATGTCACTAAACTGCTTCACAAACAGAGTTGTGTCTCTGTCCACTAACTTTTGACAACCAAAACGTGAACCGTGTCATATGAACACAGTTCAGGGCGTCAGAAGTTAGTGGACAGATGCACAGCAGTCTGTTGTCTCTATTCTTTCCTTCCTTCCTTCCTTCCTTCCTTCCTTCTATCCGTCCTCCCCTCGTTTCTTCGCCTCCTCACCTTCGGCAGTCGCAGACATTTCGACGACACGGCGTACTCGATGTAGGCCTCTTCCTTCCCGTCGCTGCCCCTGCCTCCCTCGGTGTAACACACCTCCTGTGCTTTCTGCAGCATGGCATCCAGCTCTGCCATCCCATAGGCGCAGAGCGCAGAGCGACTCGTCGCCACTGGCGTGGATGCCTGCCCCGCTGCCATGACAACAAAGAGGGCAGGCTTACCTGAGTGGTTGCCTAGCCACGCCCCCTGTGCCAGGTTGTAGCCGCCGTGGCAAAGCAGCGGCACCTCCACATATGAGTAGAAGCTGCGGTCGGCGGTGCAGAGCCGCGAGGCGTACGTCCGGTACTCCTTCTTGTGCCACATGTCCCGCCGTGAGAACAGGAAGTATACGTGGTTGCCATGGGCAACAGCCTTCACAAAGTGGTTGTTGTACTCGGAGTAACTTCCTACGACGAGCTTCCCGAGCTCCTCCTCCTGAGAAAATGCCCGGCGAGGCGGCACCACCGGGTACAGGCGCCGCGTCGTGATGGGCGGGATGTCACCGGGACCTTTGCTGGTGTAGCCTCGACCAACAAGCATCAGACGAAGCACGCTGCCGGCCCCGCCCCCTTCCTGCTTGTTCTTCGTGGTGATCACCACGGCGACGGTGGAGACTCTGGGGTCATTGGCAGCGACGTACTGAGTGTCGACAGGATTAGACGTCTGATAGATGAGATGGGAGATGTTGGACAGACTCCTGCAGAGACAGACGGACACAAAGGTTAAATTAATCTAGACATCCAGGGTTTAACTAATCCAGACCAACATTGTGTTATCAGACTAAAATTATCCAGGCGATCCTAAACCTTCGACTTGAATATTCACACACAGAGATGAAACAAAGTCAGTCTTCATATGAGGTTTAAATAATCCAGACCTCAAAAATAAAGAGCCGAAATCAAAGAAACCCTGAACATCCCTACCCACAGTGCACCAGGAAGGCAACAACCAATCAGCAGCAGTCTGAGCATGCTCCCATGTGACTCCCCCCAAACCCACACACACCCCCGAGCTAAACGCCTGTTAGTCGCTCACACACAAAGTCTATCATTGTGTTGTCGTCAAGGGAACAAGCTGCTCAAACTTCTCATCAACAGAATTCTGATAAACACACTTCGCTTTGATTTAATTTAATTTAACTGGTGGTCAACTCACCTCTTGTCGCAGATTCCCTGGTAGAGTGAACCACACACAATTAGGCTGCCTGGCTCCGCCCCCTGCCCCGCCTCCAGCAGCAGCAGCTTGTTGTGGTTGTGCGTGGGCGTGGCTGAGTGACAGTCCTGCGGGATGATTGGCGGGAGACAGTCGGGCGAGTCCAGGTGAGGGCCGGTCCTCACATGTGACATCACCTCCAGGTCGGAGGTCAGCTGGTACAGGTGGTCGACCCCGCCCACATACAGACGCCCCGCCCCCGGGTCCAGCAGCAGGTGAGACAGCGGGGCACCCTTTAGCTCCACCCACTGCACCGAGGCGTCAGCAGGGACGAGGATGAGGAGGATGAGGAGGAGAAACGGGGGGACGGAGGAGGCCAACATGGCAGCTCCTCTTTACCTGTAACAGGTGAGATACATTTTAACACCTGAACATCAGCAGCAGTCTGGAACACAGCCTCCAAACGTCCACAGTGCCTCCTAAGTAACCGAAGTGTAACCTGTGGACATCAACACGGTAACTTTCTGAGGGACATCTTGTTTTAACTGTCCCTGAAGAGCTGAGACTCTGTGGTTCCTGATGGACCAGAACCAGGTTCTGCTCAGAACCTTTTAGCTGTCTAGCTGCTGAAATCTGCAGAAACTGAGGCCTGAGCTTCTCTGTGAAATTTAAAATCCACAGAAGAATGTGTGCTTGACTTGCTGTCCGCCCACAGAGTCAGAGGTGTGTCTGAGCTCCACGTTCTGCCTGCAGGAGGAACCCGCTCAGAACCGTGACCGTCTCAGATTAAAGATCTGAAAGTGAAATATGTAAATACACCTGAGCAGGTGAGGCTGTCGATGCTCTGCTCTCTCTGCTTCTCTCTCTGAAGTTATTAATAAAATATTTTGCTGCTTCACACTTTTCATCTGACGGTCAAACTGTAGTTGCCTGTAGTAACGTCTCCATGGCAACACACCCGTATCTACGGCAACGCTGTGAATCGACTCAAACCTCCAGTGGGTTGTTTGGATTCTATGACAGACTGACGGAGTTTCAAACTGGTGTCAAACTGGTTTTTGCTCTGCAGTCCGTCCACACTGTGAAACACATAAACCTCACGTGGTCCTGCTCTCCAGAGGACGGACCATCACCACCATGAGCTCCTTGCATCACCGCCACTGAGAACATCCAGATCCAATGAGATGCAGCGAGGCTACACCTCACCCTGACCCAAATCGTTTGTCTGTTTTAAAAAGTGTAAGAACCTGTAATCATCTGGCAGCAGATACAGGTCCATCAAAACCCACACCACACGACTCCGGGGCAGTTTGCACCCCACAGCCACAGTCACACTGACGGCGGCACTGTCTGAACATCTGCCTGTCCTACTGTACCGGCCTGGACTCATCTGGTCCTGGTGTGAGTGATGGACATTGTTTTATTGTTGTCGTTTCTTATTCTGTTTTTTCTCTCGTGTCCTGACTGTGCACTTTGTGTATAATGACAATAAAGTATCTTGAATGTTGAATCATGTCCAACACTGGCGTCATGGAGGTGCCACATCCTGGAGATGTTTCTGTAGCGCTGTGGGACGACACCGGCTGATCCGATCTCGTGTTTAACGATGTCCGTGTCTCCAGCCTCTACAGACCCACAAACCGTTTTGTCTCCTTTCCGTGTTTTTGGTCTCATTGTGTGGTTTTGTTTGTTTGTGACGGTTCTGTCTCGTCTTTCTCATGTTGCATCTTGTTCTTCTTGTTTTGTGTCTCATTCTGCTGGTTTGTGTCTCTCTGGGAGGGTCTTGTCTTCGTGTCTTGCAGCAGACGTGAATCAGAGGAACTCTCCTCCTGCTGCTCCTCCTCAGACCGTCACCTGATCAGGCTGTTGGGCGTTTCAGCTCTGTATGAAGGTCAGTGAGACTCAGGTGTGTCTACAGGGAAGTCTCAGGTGTTTCCATCATCACACAGCGTGTTTTCATAGCTGCTGACTCTGAGAATCAAACAGCCTCAGAGTCTCAGCAGCATTCAGCATCAAAGAGACGTTCCTGGGCCTCCTCAGACATCCTTCATCTGATTCAGCCGCAAAACACCAGAGAAAGTGAAACTCTTCTACTCTGAAGTGTCAGAAACATCAGAACCAGAACCTGACAGAAGGTTCCTCTGACCTGGAGAGGGCGCTAAACCTCAGGACTGCATCTGACTTGATGAAGAGGGCTGATGTGGATCCGCTGGTCGGTTCTGTCCAGTTCTGGTCTGTATCAGTTGGTCTTTTCAAGTCTGGATTCCTGTTCTGTTCTGTTCTGGTCTGGACTCTTGTTCTGCTGCTGCAGTTGGTTTGCTTCTGTCTTGATCAGGAGGTTCCAGATTGGGTTCGTTGTTTTGTTTGGATCCAGGTCACTGTTCTGTCCAGCCTGGGTCCGGTCCAGCTCTGAGCTCTCCGTTCTGTCCGGACCCGGTCTGTCTTCGTGTCTTTGAGGACACAAATTTTCCGCTCCAGTAAAATGAATCAGAGGCATATTTTGCTGCGATACAGAACTCCATTCATCTCTGCTGGTCAGCTGCTGCCTCCCTCCTGCTGCGACTGAAACTCTGTTTAACTTCCCCCAGTGCATGATGGGAAACACCCGGAGAGGCCTCAGGACACAAACACACTGCCGAGCACACAGCACACACATACTCCCACATTTCCATGGTAATGCTGCACATCCTCACACAGCCGGTCTGTATGCTAATAACTGGTTCATCTATAATTCATGCAGCTCAGAGTCGCAGGCTGTCAGAAAGTAAAATGAGAGGTAAAGTTGGAAGAAAGAAGCAGAGCGAGGTTATAAGAAGGACAGAAGAAGGAGAAGGAGGTGCAGCAGAGCTGGAGGCGACGGAGCGTTAAAGTCAAAACCAGGAAAAAGACTCAGAGAGAAAATAAATTCATGTTTGATCTTCAGAATTCAGATCAGCTGCAGTCTGACGGTTCTACAGAGGCCCGGAGAGATCGACACTCTGGAGCTTAAGAAAACACAGACAGAACACCGAGAGAACATCCACAGAGCTGCACACAGAACACAAAGACTCAGACAAGCACCAGGAAACCTCTGGATTCTACCAGAACCCCTAAAGAACCCGTCCTGCAGGAGGAACCCCAGAACCTGGAACCCAACGACTTTGATGCAACGTTACCTCAGATTCACTAGAACATCCATCCATCCATTATCTACACACCGCTTAATCCTCA